GTGGGGAGGGCGGTGGGCGCGCCCGTCGATCTGGCAGAAGCTGCTTCATGCCCTCCCTGAGGCGCTGAGGGCAGGAAAGCTGCTGGGCACGTCAGGCTGGCAAACACCAGGCACCTCGTGGTGAGCCCTGGGTCCCGATGGCCGGGGCAGCTCAGGGGTGGCCGAGGGCGTCAGCACAGGGGGGAGAGGCGCCTGTGGCCACGAGCTGCTGCCGTAGCAGAGGTTGGCACTGGCAGGGCTGTCGAAGCCCAGATGCTCCTCAGCGCTGCTGAGCGTTTCTGCTCTGTGCCCTGCTTCTCCAGGCACTACCGCTCTGTCCATGTGGAAACACCTTCCTACACAGGGGGTGTCAGCGAGGAGTTCTGGGAACGCAGCCGGCAGCGGGAGAGGGAGCGTCGGGAACATGGTGTGTTTGCCTCCTCCAAGGAGGAGAAGGAGCGGAGAAGGGAACGCAGCCGGGACCGGGACCAGGACCGCAAACGGGACCGCGGTAACTGCCCGGGGGACTCCCCTGCCTGGGCTCTGGGCTGGTCTCCCCACCTGTCTGTAGCCCTGAGCTCGTGTCTCACAGCAGAGGTGGGGAGCCCGTCTGTGCCCTGACCTGGCTGTCTCTCTGTAGAGGAGCGGGACAGGAGCCACCACAGCAGCAGGTCTGAGAGGGACGGCTCCTCGGAGCGCAGCAGCAGGCGGGGCGAGCCCGAGAGCCCCAGGCATCGGCCCAGAGGTGGGAGCGGGACCTGCTGGGGGGTTTCTGTGGGGCCTGGCAGGAAGGGCCTTCCATGGTTTCTTTAGGTTTTGCTTCCTGCTGTTTTCGTCAGGACAAGTGTGGGTAGAAACGCCTGTGTCTTTTGATGTTTGTGGTTAGGGCAGGTGCAAAGACCCTGGCTCAGCCTGGCTCTGCCAGCTGTGTCTGCAAATCTGGCTGGTCTCTGCACAGTGGGGTCTGTCCTGGGTGTGTGATGGAGATGCAGTTCCCCTTGGGTTCACTGGGTCAGCGCCTTCTCTTGGAGAGAGGCCAAATGGGAACCTTCTCTCTGTGCTCCTGGCTGGAAGGTGGCTCCGGGTGCTGGGGTCACTGTTGGAGCACCAGGTGACAAACCCGTGTCCTCTGCCAGACGCAGCCACCCCGTCGCGCTCCAGCTGGGAGGAGGACGACAGTGGCTCCAGCAGCACCCGCCGCTCCCAGTGGGGAACCCCCTCCCCCATGCCCTCCCGCCCGGGCTCAGAGAGCCAGCA